TGAAACCACATGTTTAATGCTTTGGTGTTATGTGAAATATCCTCTATTTACCAGTCTTGAATCTATGTAACTCTTGTCTTTAGTAGGCATTGCATGAGTACATGAGTGTTCATGCGTGCCTACACTGTATTTGGTCGTTCCAACCGATCATGAATTAAACATGTAATTACAATTCTTGTTGTTACTTTTGTGAAGAAATAGCAAGAGAGCGCCAATTTCCAAGTTATACCAAAAAAACTGTCAATCAGTTTTCTCTTGCATTGGATTAACATATAGTGAGGAAGTATTTGACGAATAAAATCACTCTGCTTCATTCGATTTTATTTCCTTTTGGACCTAGACAAAAGGGTTAAAACAAAATAGGCTTAAAAACAGTCAATATCATTAAATGCGCTGTAACATGCATCCAAACTACTATAATCATAAAATAACTTAAGGAAATCAAAGAATAAACGAGTCTACAATTTAAAACAAAAATAGAGAAGGGACAAAATCACACATACACAAACAAAAAAGATCTATAATTGGAAAAGGTAGTGCTTCCATAAAGTATTAAACATAGGTATACAGAATAAATTAAGACATAACCAATCAATGCCATAAAATTATGACATAGGTACAATGGCGGAGCCAGGATTTTCGACATGGGTATGCGGAGACAAAAAAATATTTTTGGTGCACAATAACGCAAGACATAAAAAAAATGTACTCCCCCATCTCAAAATTACTGCCTTTGATTTAGTACAACTTTAGTATATAAATTTTGAGACGAAGGGAGTAGACAATATTACCAATTAAACTAGAAATTTTTCTTTGTGCAAATGTGTCTTTCAATGATTTGGTTACGTTGCAGAACAAGAAGAATCATAATAACATAACAAAAGCGAGAAATGATTGCGTCTTCCTTTTCTTTCATGGAAAAATTGTGCTCACAATTAACCAAGCAATCATTTATATATTATTCCCCATTTTGTCTCTTAACTTATTCTTCACACAAGGAACCAAACTAATGATCTATTCTCGACTGGTAGTTTGGACAAATCAAGATTAATGAAAATGGATAGAACACTAACCAACCACGATCAGATGATCGAGGCATTTAGCACGCTGATGTTGGCGACTTTGCCTGCGCTTTGCTGGATGGCCAATGCGCCGTGTGCCTGGGTCGCTGCGAACTATGGAGGAATGGTGATTGGGGAGGCAATCTACCGGCGGCAGCCTAGTCCGCGACGGAAAACGGCGCCGTCATCCGGACACATCAATTAGGCGATGGCCGGTTTTGCGATTGGAAGTTGGAACCGCACACGTCGGCTGGCTCCTAATCTCCTCGACTTGGGTTAATCGGGCCAGCTGCAAGCCCTTAAGGCCTGATAGATAGTATAATACCAGCCTAGTTAGCATGTTGGCCCAGGTGGCAGCCGAATTGTTTTCTGCTTAGTTTGTCTGCAGCGCTGTAAGTAACTGCCCTAGGGAAGCCAATCGAATTGCTCACCTTCTGGCGAAGCACTCTTATGATACTCAGTCTGCATTTGATTGGGATGGAGATCCACCCAATTTCATTCTTCCTTATGTAATAAATGATGTAACTCTTTTGACTGTGAAATAAAACACCGATAGGCTTTTCCTTCAAAAAAAACTGATGGCCATACGCTGTATAAATGCATACATGAGCATATATACTGAAACTTTTCTGTATAAAATATTGGGTATGCATTGCATACCCTTGCATTAGGCTAGCTCCGCCCCTGCATAGGTATAAAGTATAAACATAGGTATATCTTTTCCCTAATAATAAAGCACGGGTTGAGTTTATCGGGTTCATGGTGATTTTACACAAAAGTCCCTGTATTGTTTAGGAATTGAACCCGCAGTACATAATTAATCTATCACGCAAAAGAAAGAAACGGTTCACTGGAAAAAACACCCATACTCATCTGCCTCCTCGACCCCTCACATGTGCCCAAGCCGAGCCATCCTTACGCCATCGCCACCAGACCTCCGCCAGCTCGCCCCGTGGCCGCCGCACCTCGGCCAGCTCGCCGCCGTAGCCGCACCTCTGCCATCTCGCCGCCGCGGCCTCACCTCCTCCAGATCCTGCCGCCGCGGCCTCAACGGCGGCCTTGTATGGGCTTGCGGTCGCGCGGTCGGCGAGGACCTGCCGAATCTCGCCGGATCCGATGGGAAGTGGCGCTCAGGCGGTGGATCTAGAAGGAAGGTGACTGAAGCTCGGAGCACAACAGTAGGCGGGCGCAGCATGGCGTCGGGTAATTGTGAGAGAAGAGAGAGATGAGCGGGAGAGAAAAGGGAGCACATGAGGAAGGAGATGGGAGGCCGGAGGGAGAGAGAAGGGAGCGGTGAGGTGCGGCGGTGGTCCTGCTGCTGCTCGTCGGCCATCTGCGAGCCGGAATTGCGGCCCCATGCGAGGGAAAGATCGGCGTTGCTACAACCACGGCAAGACGCCCACCATGAGCGTACCTTACAAGCAACAGCAGCCTCACTTCGCCTAGGACGACATGACGATTACGAAATATTCAGTCATCCCTCTTGCGTCTGCCTGTTGGATACTTGGACCTGCTCGTGCGTTTGAGGTAATTCTTAAATAAGATAGCTATGCAAATTGTTATTTTTGTTCAGATGAATGTCGGGATTTGGTAATGCTTAAAGAAAAGATCTACTCTATGGTTGTTTCTCTGCAGATGATTATGCAGAAAAGTTGAAAACGGGGTATAATGATGCTTGGACTTAACAAATTGGGCAAATGATGTGTCGTTAACAAAGCACCAGGAGTAGTGCTACGATCAAGCATTCAAAAATCATAGGTATACAAAAAAAAGAATGAAACAATCACCCACAAAATAAAAACAGAAAATAACCCAAAAGTTAATGCGCGAAAAGTATAGGGACCTAAACAACACATGCTAATTTCCCTGTGGTTTTCTTACACGAATGTTTTCTCCTCTCATCAAGTTGCTTTCAGCATTTCCCCTCAATAAAGTCCGTCTACCTTTTTATCGCCCCCTGCTAGAACTCTTACGCCATAGCCATGGGTGACTCATCGTCGCCTCTATTTCTTTTCTCCTTGGTTTATAATATGAAAAACGTATCAACCCCAACAATAATAACATTAAACAAACCCAAAACGAGTCAATCATTGAATCGTGCCTTAACAACCCACATACATGCTCCACTTTACTTAATATGGTGACCAAAGCGAGCAAGACAAGAAGTTCAATCACCACAACCCCATCTCACATCCCCAATTGCCATCCACACAACCCCCTAACCACACCTCGCCACACATCTCCACCGGAAAGCCAAAGACGCATCACCCCCCAACCTAACAAAGCAACAAAGCCGCGCAAACGAGCTGTCCTCAACAAACCAAACCCAGGGCCAGTTCTTTTGGGCAATTCTCCCAGAATTCACCCCCTCCCCAGCTTCTCCCAGAATTATCACTTAATATTTTTTACAATTCCTAGCTAGTTGAGATCTAATTAGCTAGGAATTGTAAAAAATATTAAGTGACAATTCTGGAAGAAGCTGGGAAGGGGGTTAATTCTGAGAGAATTGCCCAAAAAACTGGCCCCCAGCCTCATCGTCGCCAAACCGCCAAACAGCACGTAAAACGGGAAAGGAAACGATGCCCGGCCCGCGACGGCCGCCCCTCCCCCTCTCCCTATCGGAGCGGGCGCGCCTCCGAACCGAACGAGGCCAAGCGATTTTCTTTTCTCGTTATATATATATAAATATAAACGGAAGATAAGCAGAGGCAGGCCCGGAAATCTAGTTAAACAAAGAGAGAAATAAATCTCGGGTATAAATTCCGAAAGCGGAGGCCACCGGTGGGCTTCTCTCTCCTGACTGCCCAGCTACCACCGCCCCCCTCCCCCCTCTGTCCTCGAGCTTCGCCTTGGATCGCAGCGCAGCTGGACTCCTCCCCTCGGCCGCGTCCCCCTCGTCGTGTGCGCGCGTGAGCGAGTGAGCTCCCTCCCCGCCCTGCTTCTCCCCCCCCTCCCCCCTCTCTCTTGCTGGATCGGGGGTGCTCAAAGATCTCGCCTTTCTCGCGCAAAAGATCCCCTCTCCTCCGGGGAGAGATCTGCCGTGAGGAGGCGGCAGGGGCGGGCGAAGAAGGCCGCGCCCCTCTCTCTGTTCCGCTGAGCGTTCCTGCCGCCCCCACCCTCTAGTGCCGTGCGGGGAGTTAGTAGCAGCCTTCTTTCTTTTCTTGGAGTGGATTGGTAGTGTTCTTGGTTCGGGATCTTGGTGCGTTTGGAGCTTTTGCTCCCCGAATCGCGAAGCCCCGCGGTCCTGGTGGTAGGCTTGTTCCCCGCCGTAAAACCTGGCGGCTAGACGGATCTACTCGATTTGGAGTTGAGTCGCTTTACAGATTCGTGGGCGTAAGCTGCTCGTACGTTTTGGTGGAAAGAATTGACGTCGGCTGCTTGGTTTCGTAGGTCTCGTCAGTTCCTCTTGTAAATTCATGCCCGGCAGTAATGGCGCTACTGTTCATTTATTCACAACCCTCTCAGTTCGAGCTATGGACTTGACTTGAGTAGTTGTGCTGTCGTGTTCATATTTCTACCCACCTCTCTGTGCGGCAATATGCATGCTTCATGCCATCCCAACAATTCCATCGTTTGGGCAAAAAGTTTCAACTTGTTTTGGAGAACGAAAGTAATGCCCCCTAGACATCGTTGCATCACGTGGTTCTAGTGCTTTTCTTTTGCTTCCAAGCAGCTTTTTTCAGATAAAATTTGTTACTTGACGATTGAGACCGTGCTAGTTTGCGTTGTATGAATTCTCCATGGAACTTAATTTCCTATGTGGTCATTTTCGCGTAATACTTGGCTAGTGTCTTTTTGTACATAGTCCTCGTCGCTTGCCAAATTAGGACTCTAATATCTATTTTGAGTGTCACCATCTCACCATGTCATACTAAAGAACGCAATTCGTCAGTGCTCAAGGTGACTCGTATTCTGTTTTGTGTGACACAGACATCTCAAATGGACTTTTTTACCGAGTATGGTGAGGGAAACAGATACAAGATTGAAGAGGTTATAGGGAAAGGGAGTTATGGCGTGGTCTGCTCTGCTTTGGATACTCACACGGGTGAGAAAGTTGCTATCAAGAAGATAAACGACATCTTTGAACATGTGTCTGATGCCACACGGATACTCCGCGAGATCAAGTTGCTTAGGCTCCTAAGACATCCCGATATCGTGGAAATTAAACATATTCTTCTTCCTCCGTCGAGGAGAGAGTTCAAGGATATATACGTTGTTTTCGAACTCATGGAGTCTGATTTGCACCAAGTTATAAAGGCGAATGATGACTTGACTCCAGAGCATTATCAGTTTTTCTTGTATCAGTTGCTCCGAGGATTGAAATACATACATACAGGTAACCGATTTATTTTCGCATCAAAGATGGCTCTTTTGCATATTACAACAGCTGGATATCAGGCATCTCAATTTACTAATAAATGGTCAATGTGTTTAAAAGGCATACACATGTCAGTAGATAACAATGCCATGTCAAATTCGAAACAATATTTCTAGTATCTGGCGACGATGTATTGGTTGTGTTGGTATTTGTGAAAACCTTTAAAACCCATGGTATGTTCCACAAACTTTGTAGTCAGGAGAGCAATATGGACCTGTATAGTACTTTGATACAGGTCACACAGTTCGCTATAGTGTCACAGCCTGAGTTGTGTGTTCTAGTCTAATCACCTAGTAACTGATCAATTCTGTGATGGAAAGTTACTGTTAATCATTTACGTAGCTACAATCTGGACGTGCTCCCAAAGCTTCTTGTGATGCTACAACAGAACTGTGGTCCTAGTGAGGAGCTCTTTGTGCCAAAAGTCAGCAACTAGATAGGCATACTAATCTTGTGAAGCACTGTTTGAGGCTAGAGAACTTCTGTTTAATCTTTTTTATAAATATAAATAACTTATTTGTGATCAAGTAGGTATTTTCAGTTCTCTTTTTTGGCATGCTAAGAAATAATATTTTGCTGGTATAATAACAATGAAAAACACATGCTCATCTCTCCATTCATAGAGCAATACTGTAGAAATCCCTATTGTTCAGATTATTTAAACAAATGAGTATTAATACTTTTGCTATAGATACAAATGTGGCATTGTGAGTTGATTGGCAATAATATAAAACAAGACTCATAGAAAAATCATTTTGGCTGATGCATCTTCCAATAGCTTCTTGCAGCAAATGTATTTCATCGAGATCTCAAACCAAAGAATATCTTGGCTAATGCTGATTGTAAGCTCAAAATATGTGATTTCGGTCTTGCAAGGGTAGCTATAAGTGATACTCCAACCGCAATATTTTGGACGGTATTGCTATTTCCCCCTACCATGCTGACCATTTCTTTTGGCTACTCAATATCAATAACAGCAGCTAATTTCTTATCCTGTTTTTAGGATTATATCGCAACAAGGTGGTACCGAGCACCTGAACTATGTGGATCTTTTTTCTCCAAGGTTTGTATATGTTAAATTTCATATGAATCATGGTATCAACAGTATTTTTCATTATTTTTCCCTCATATGAATCTGATTTACTTCGTTTAATGTTTAAGGCTTTAAGGGTGCTGCAACTTTGTGACAGCAAAGCAAAGTAACCTCCCCCTGGCATTTCCTTAGTAGTTCTTTTCCTATTTCATAACAGGTTATGTTCTAATATATATTAGCTATGGGAAACAATGCCAATCAGCCAGCATGGTTAAAAAATAAATGTTTAAGAACACATTCCAACATCTGGCACAGTTTATGTTTTTTTTTTGTCTTCCACCCTCAACGGACAAATATTTTTTAATGTGCATGTTTTGATGTTCAGGGTAATCATATTGCTTCAATGTCATTCAGGAACGACCTTGTTTTCTGTATTTCTTTTTGCAAACCGAATGATTAAGCTGTCAAAGGAATAAGGGCACCTCTAGTTGTAACTCAAGTACTCTATGTCTAGGTTTGATTAATCCAGCTATACATATTCTGGAATATCTGGAACGCTGTATAACATTATGTTCTTCAATTTCTTGCAGTACACACCAGCAATAGATATATGGAGTATTGGATGTATATTTGCGGAACTTCTAACTGGCAAACCTCTTTTTCCTGGGAAAAATGTGGTGCATCAACTTGATATAATCACAGATCTCCTGGGAACGCCTGCTCCAGAAACAATTGCTAGGGTCAGTATGGTTGGCATAAAACAGTGTGTTGTTTCCAATATAACCTCTGATGTTTATAGCTATCCTACAGATTCGAAATGAGAAGGCCAGGCGCTACTTGAGCAGTATGAGGCGGAAAAAGCCTGTACCGTTCACGCATAAGTTTCCAAATGCAGATCCACTTGCATTAAATTTGTTAGAGAGAATGCTAGCATTTGATCCAAAAGACAGGCCAAGTGCTGAAGAGGTAGTTTGTTTTAGTACCATGCCTGCCAGCATTTTTTCCTGTGTTTCTTCTTTCCTTGTAACCTTGAATACCATTAGCTAATGTATTAGGCATGTTGACAGGCTCTTGCTGATCTTTATTTCAAGAACATTGCGAGTGTGGATAGGGAGCCTTCTGCACAGCCCATTACTAAGCTTGAGTTCGAGTTTGAGAGACGAAGAATTACGAAGGACGACATAAGGGAACTCATATACAGAGAAATTCTGGAATATCATCCAAACATGCTGAGGGAATTCCTTGAGGGGGCTGAGCCAACTAATTTCATGTACCCAAGGTGCGAAGTTCTCTTTCAATACTTTAACATCGTGGAGTGCCTTGTTTAATTCCAGAGACAATGCAGTGACATTATTCTTGGTCAGTCTAGTTCTACAGATTTTTTTTGGTATCATTAATGTCTGTGCAGGTTCATGAATAAATATCAAGTGTTTATACACACACTATTATGGTTATTTTTCTACTCTTTTGGTGATGGTGATATTGATAAATAAAGCATGCGGAAATTGTTTTTGTTTATTGTTGATTAGGTAGTGCATACCTATTCTGTGTTCTTATTTGTTGCTTGGAGTCAGTCGCGCACTGCATAAGATACTGACCGATTCATCGATCTAACATTGTTTGCTCTATTCGGATTTCAGTGCAGTAGATCATTTCAAAAAGCAATTCACATTCCTTGAAGAGCATTATGCAAAGGGATCAACAGCAGCACCGCCTGAGAGGCAACATAATTCATTACCAAGGTATGATATTGACTTTGCTTTAACATTGTATGATGGACTGATGTCACTTTAGCCACAAATTGGAAGTGTGGTTCTTGACTATCTAGTTTTCTGTTAACAGGCCGAGTGTTATCTATTCGGATAACCGGCCACAGTGTTCAGATAGCCGACCACAGGGTGCTGCCAACATTACGGATGATCTTTCCAGGTGTATAATCAGAGATAATGCACAAAAGCCACGCAGAGATCCTGCTTCAGTTGGTGCAAACAGAGTTCCTCAAGGTAAGCACCTGGGTCGTCCAATACTTTTGAATCTGCAAACAAGCCTGCATGACTGTATCCTTAACTGTATCTATCGGGCCTTGTAACTCGAGGGTAACTTGATACACCACTTCATCATACAGGTGCTGCCGTTGCAAGGCCTGGTAAAGTGGTTGGTTCGGCACTTCGTTATGGTAACTGTTCAACATCTGGTACTGAGCAATATGAACAGCGAAGGGTCGTCACAAGCCAAGGAATTGTTCCAAACGGTGTTCCTTCGGGCAGCTCATACCCTAGAAGAAATAACACCTGCAAGAGCGAAACAGGTGAAGCTGAAAGGATTGACGTGAGCCAAGCTGGGCCACCAAAGCCATATACCGGAAATAAACTAGCTGCAACCGTGGATGGCCGCAACGGGCACTGGTAGGCTGCTGTGGCAATGCCAGAAAATCCTTGCCATTGGATCAGGAAGGGTTACTCATTCCAAGGACACACCTTCAAACATGCCATTCTGTACAGAGTTATATTATCTGTCATGCTTACTTCTCCCGGAGACGATAAAACTGTATGTGAAGTTGTTGCGGCAGGCTAGTCTCCTGTTAAGCTCAACTCTGGTCTGGTTACCTGCAATTGGGTAGATCCAGTTCAACTGTTCAACAAGTATAACCAAAAAACTGGAAACTTTGAGTGGCATTCGCGACAAAGGACTGTTACTGACCTGACTGATGGTGTTCCGCAATTCGTTTCTCCAAGCTGGTGACCCTGAGGGAGGTTCAGAGAGCCCACTGTACACTATCTAATGTTGTAACACGGAGTTTAATTAATTGACTTTAAAGTATGTTCTTGTTGCTTGTAGTCTGTCATCCAGCTGTAGTGTCGAACTATTGAACACTGCTATTTCTGATAACACATTATTTGGACCCTGCTCGCTATTGAAACCCCAGGTTTTTTGTGCGGAATTTGTAATGTGATATGCAGTAAGTTAGTAGCCCGAGCAAAACGGAGTTGCGACGTATGTTTCCTGAATTGCGAAACATGTTTACTGTCCTGTTTTTCAAGAAATTACATAGTGCCTGGTTTGTAGCATGTCCAGTAGAAGCTTTCCTGGTTACCGATGCTTTGGCCCACCTCCAAATCCATTAAACTGTAGCGTGCGAATGGGATGCCCCTGTTTTGAATGCATTCTCTTTTTTTTCCCTTCATAAAATTCATTTGAAATTCATGTATTTCAAATATTTACTGCATATTACCGGAAAAAATCTGTTTGGGAAAACATGAGCAATCACTAAGGTCACTCGGTTGAAACTGCAACAAATTGTCATGCATGTGTAGGATGGGAGCAAACTTTTACCAAAAACACTTGCATAACAAAAACACAATGTTTGAAGTAGATACCATTGAGTCATTGCAACACGTCTCACACCCGAGTTTGCAACATGTCGAGAAAACGTTTGAAACTTTGAAAAATTGCAAATCACTAACCTTATTTTTAGCATCGACTTTGCCGGATTGAACTCGTTGACAACAAATCCATCTCGCCAATGCCCCACTGAATCTAACACCCTTGGTCCACCGTCTCCCCTGGGCTTGGCATGGTGAAGAATCTTGAATCTGAGCTACATCGTGGTTGTGTCCATTGCGACACAGTGAGCTCCAAGGACCACCATCCGCAGCGATGGAAGACAACAACGAGGGAGCGGAGTCAGCAAATCAGGATGGGAGAGGTGACATGTGGAAGGAGAGAGGAAGCTGCTTTTGCGAATGAGCGACGTGACCCAACTGATCCATTCACTCAATCTGTTGGCAGGCACATATATTCTGATAGAGAACATCGCAGTTGTATCTAATCGTTTTCCAACATTTGGATCCAAGAATTTTTTTTTAAAAATGCATGGTGTGTGTGTTCCCTTCTAAGTCCATCTTTGGTCCACATGATTCTAAAAATGCAGGAAAGGGAAAACGCGAGGATTGAATAGGAATGCGTGTGTAAAACAAGGATTGGAAAACGTAAGAATTTTGCACACTTGGATGTTTAGTCCACAGGAATAGGAAAAAAACATTGGAACTCAAAACAAGGATTGAAAAACGTAAGAATTCTGCACACTTGAATAAATATAGTCAAATCAAACTCAAAACACTGGGAAAAGGTATAATTAGCATGCTATTATGCCGCCAAGGAACTTAATCGTGTTCTTCATGCGTAGATTTTTTTTAAAGTGTCCAAGTGAATTATGGAATTCCTGCAATTTTTTGTCTGAAACCGAGACAGGAGGAAAATTTCTTTCATTTTCTTTGCTATATTCTTTTATCTAAACCAAAGGCTTAAATAGTGTCACCATAACGGCACGCCTAGTAAGCTATAAAAATAAATAAATAGTGTCACCATAAGAAAATTTCCTATTGTGTGTTTCCTTCATTTTCATGTTTTTTTTGAAACAAACCTTCATTTTCATGTGAACCAGAGAAGGAGGCCTCATAGAGCCGGTCCCACAACTCGGGGACCCCACCTGGCAGAACACCAGCCCTCTCCAAATAACCCAACCCGACGAAGGCCAGAAACCCTAATAACTTCCCCGCCTCCCTCCAAGACCCTTCCCGCTTCCCCGAGGCGGCGGCGCGAGCGAGCGAGCGAGCAACCGGCGGCGATGGGTAAGGCGGCTAAGAGCTCGCGGAAAGGGAAGAAGGCGTGGCGGTCCAACATCAGCACCGACGACATCGACGAGTTCTACGAGAAGCAGACGCGCGACGCCCACGCCGGCGCCGCCGCCATTCCCTCCCTCCCGTCCGGCTCCCTCTTCTTCGTCGACAAGCCCGCCTCCGCGTCCACCTCCTCCGCCGCCAACGCATCCGACCCGGCCCCCAAAGGTCGGTCAGTCAGTCAATCCCTCTTTGTTCTTCTGCGTGTTAGTTTGAGGTTTGGTGGTCTAGCTCCGGACTAGGATTGAGGCACCAGTCGCGAATTAGAGGCTAATATAAAGTTTGTGATACCACTAGAATGCAGTGACGTGAAAAATGCTGATCATATAGTTTTGTTAGTTTTGTTAATCTAGTTACCTAATGTTGTAGCTGCTCCTTTCAATGTTAAGCACTTGGTACTTGGAATCCTTGATGGAATTGTTTACATTAGTTTCATATTGGGGCTCAAAGTATGCATCACTGCATTATACTCCCTCCGTCCGAAAATACTTGTCATCAGAATAAGCAAAAGGGGATGTATCTAGACGTATTTTAGTTCTAGATACATCTCTTTTTATCCATTTTGATGACAAGTATTTTCGGACGGAGGAAGTATGTTTGATGTACTGAATCGTAAAAGTTGCCATGTTCAGTAAGCTGCAAAAGGTCGTCTAAATCACTAGTGGTGCTGAACATTTGTTGCTGTTTGTAGATGTTCCTGTCAAAAGGAAGATTGAGAAAAACAGGGAGAAGGTCCTTCACCATGAGAGTGTGTTGAAGCGGAACCCTTATATACAGACGATTCCATCTTCTTTGATGTCAAAGAAGGATAAGAAGAAGTTCAAGAAGCATGCAAAGAAAAAGGAATTGCAGGAGTCACGGGAAGAAAAAAGTGTTCCCATGGTATTAACTGTTGGAGAGTTGTGCAACTCCTTTTCTCTTTGAGGCCCAGCTTGCTAATTGCTGGATTTATTTCGTTTACAGGAAGAGGATTCAGCTGAGAAGAACCTCGACATCTGGGGTGGAGATGCTAAAGGGGCTGCTTTGCCCAAAAAAGGAATGAAAAGGCTTAAGAAAAATGTAAGTCTGAATGCGCAAAGCTTGCAGTCATATTTGTGCAAATTTGCAAACATATCTTCTTGCCAAATGCTGCACCTGGTAGCTTCTGCATTTTTATAGGTCTTAACATGTCTAGGTTTAATGGATTACTTCTTGCAGAAATCTACCACATCTGTGATTCCTGCAGTTGAAGTTGAGCCTCAAGGATGTTCATTTAATCCTCCACATGAAGCCCATCAAGTATGTGCTTGAAGATATGTTCTAAGTTCAGGATATTTGTAATATTATCCACTTCTTAATTCTAAGTTCAGGATATTTGTAATATTATCCACTTCTTAATTGCTAAAACCATTGGCTGTTGGATGTCTGGGTGCTTTTAATAATAAGTTCTTTTACTCATGTTGTTTGTGTTGGTGTTTGTAGGACGCTCTTGCTCTAGCTGTTGCTGATGAAATGCGCAAGATCTACACGAAAGAGTTAGGCCCCACACCAGTGCCACTTACTGTTCTTGGTCAAGCAGTAGCTGAAGAAGATGTAAGTTCTACGACTGCCTTTACACATAGCCCCTCTAGGAGATGACTGGAATTTGGACAATATCCCAACCTTCTATCTGCTTTTGAATACTTACTCACTTGTTATATTGGTATATTGCTTCTGATGAACATAGGCATGCACTATGATTTTTTTAGAGACTTAGGTTCCAAGGAAGTGGACTGTTGTATTCTCGCAAGTCTACCTTGCACCAAGTAATAGAAAAAAAATCCTTGTAATTCTATTGACGGAGGTTGTCATCCAGGCAGAATTAACATTAGTATAAAGACTGAGATTATTCATCTAGTCTTTTTAAGGTGCTATCTTACTATCTTATTGTCTAGTTCATTCTGAGATTTTTCATTCTAGTCTATAGGGGTGTTTCGTAAGTATATCATGAAATGACAAGTTATTTGATTCACATATATCCATACCCAGGTTCGTGCCATCTAGGCTGTAACGAGCTATGTAAGCAATGTAACATGAATTCCATTTTTGCAAGTTGTGTTCTGCAAATCATATGACCTGTATATATATTGGAATTTTATCAAAACCATTTCGGAGTACTTGTCAGCTGCTGACTTTAGTCTCGGAACAGTATGTATCGTTCCATGCTGTATTACTGGATTGTGTTCTTGTGATTCGACATGCTTATCCCTTTTCTTTCACCTGGCCTGCAGAAATTTTTTCTTGATGCTGCTGATGATGGAGATGCTGCTGTTGATGGAGATGTAGATGCTGCAGAAGGTGATAAAGACCAGGATGCTGATGCTCTAACTGGAGAGAGGTTACACTCGACTATGTTATGAAAAATATATAGTTATTATGAAATAAAGTATTTTGGCTTAAGTACATCATACTTCTATCCTCATGGCTTTTGTGAGTAGTACTCCCTCCGTCCGGAAATACTTGTCAGGTATCCATTTCCCCGACAAGTATTTCCGGACGGAGGGAGTACATGTTAATGATGGTTGAAGCTTAGTGTCACACCGCCATTCACTATTTTTGACATGTTTATATATTATGCAAAATGAGTTAGTTTTTCAGAAAGTTGGGTGCTGCTAAGTGTTGTCTTATTCTTCCATTGGTAGCATTAGAAAGCTAGTAGAGTGCAGGAGGATTGCAGCTCACATTTTAGAATCCGATTGGAAGATTATGTGCTTTTTCAGACATACCTTTTTGACGTTTCAATTTAGTTGGTTTGGTGTCAATTTGCAAAATATTATCGGAATAGCTGTTGTGTCCGGTTTATCTTTATAGATATCTTTTAATGGTATGATCTATTAATTTTCAGGAAGAAAACAAAAAGAGTTACGAGAGTGGAACTGAACAAAAGGGCTCGTCGTAAAGAGAGGTTAAGGACAGAAGCAGATGCGAAGAAACTGGAAGTTTTTTCAAAGCAAATAGACAGGTAGGTTTCACATTCCTGTCTCATCAAGCTCCCAAGAATGGTCTACTTTTAGTTCTCTGGTTACCATATTTTTGCTATTCTTTTTTGCAGCTTGCCAAATATATTGGAGGAGATAGCGAAAGAGGACAAGGAAAAGGAGGAAAAGCGCATAAGGCTAACTGTGGCTAAGCAGGAAAGACTCAAGTCAGCCCCACGTCGTCTGGGTAGACACAAGTACATTTCTAACCCGGATGTTTTTTTTAACAGTTGCAAGTCTTATATTAGTGTTGCTATTTTCATGAAACTTACAACTGCCAGTGTAATCTGGTTTACTTCGGTAGAGGTTTAAATAATAGTTAATCTGCTCATTGAATCATTTTTTATACCACTCCTTCTACTATGCTGTAAAGTTTGATGACATTACTAATTTTTTGGGGTATATTTTAGTATTCTTTTTGGGCACATGGTGTCATATTTGGCTATGATATTTGATTCTCTGACAATAACTAAAATATGAATGCAACAGGTTTGAACCTGCTCCCGTTCAAGTTCTGTTGACAGAGGAGATTAGTGGCTCGCTTAGAAAGCTGAAGGTAACATTCTCTGGTTTTGTTGCTGTCTACTAGAATTCTGCAGGGGCTAACTGCTATATCTTTGTGCAGGGGTGCTGCAATCTAGCGAGGGATCGCTATAAGAGCATTGAAAAACGTGGCATACTTGCACCAAATAAGAAATTAAGGTCTGTCTTTCTTTGCTTGTCTTGCATACAAATTATGTAAGTTGAAGTAGCTTTGCTGATTACAAAGTATTAGTGAGCATTGTTATCTCCTTTGGTTCGCCTGAAGGCCGAAATCACTGATTAGAAAGCTTCAGCGACCTTGCACTCCATTTGAAGTCCTAAAATATAAGATGTTTTTTGACACTCTGGCGCTGACACATTTATTTATCCATGAGCAGCAAGCGTCCTCGCCGCTGAATGTGTGGTGTATGTTCCAACACGGCGAGGACCATGGGCAATCTCACTGGGAGTCGGAAGCAACTTGAATTGACCGGGGAGACCAGTGCTGACAAGGCTATGGAAAATATAGTTCTCCAATTTACCTTGTTAGTATTGCCGAGGGGGTTAAAAGAGTCACACCGCTTGAATTTTATTTTGTCGCTCCCTCTCATGTCTGGCCCGACAACGGCCTTCGTCGGGCAGGTTCCGTATATCAGACTTCTTGCTATCTTTGTATCGACTATAATAGATAATTACTTTCTCAGTGAAAGTATGATCTCCTTCACTATGTATACTGCGTTTCAACTGTAAAAGAACATTTCATTGTCAACTGCTCTTAGGTCATCACAAAAGAGTTAATTGACGTTGGTGATACAATAACTTTACCTGTGGGTGCAGTTCCATAGGGCAAGTCGCAAAATGCTCGAACATGTCAAAATCCCCATGTCGTTGCCTCTCCTAATCTTGTGTTTGGAGATCGGTATACATCGGAAACATCTTTTGAGTGCAAGTTCTGTTATATTTGTTAGGGTATGTAACTCGAGTAGGGCATTTTGGAGACTGGAGGCCTTAATCTTGAAAAATTCAAAAATCGAAATGTTTACTTTCAAGTTCTAAGAAAATTACACATGTATAAAAGGTTGTATTGTGTACGTGTGTAAAATTTCACATAAAATACCTTGAATTTTGAGCTGCACAAAAAAACACATGAACTTTGAGGATGAACAATATATATGCTAAAAAGCCTAGATTTGTCTTCTTTGTGTATCTCTTATTTTTTTTGAAAAAACTTTTAATCTATTCATCATCAATCATGATAGTAAAACGAATATCAGAAATTATAAAAATTACATCCAGGTTTGTTGACCACCTAGCGATGATTAGAAGTACTGAAGCGAGCCGAAGGCACGCCGATGTCATCGCCCCTCTCTCCCTGGAGTCGGGCAAAACTTATTTTGGTAGACAGTTGAAAAGTTATCATGCTAAGGCCCTAGACACATGAACACACAAGAACAAAAAGCGGATCCACATGGATTCACTGAAAATAAACGCCGACTGAATCACGCGAGATTCATCGCCGACCGAATCACACGAGATTCGCCGGGGACAAATCTCCACACGCTCTCGGATGACACTAGGCCCAGTTCTTTTGCCAGAATCTGGGGATTCTCCCAGAATTCGATCTCTACCCAGCTTCTCCCAGAATCTTTGGGCCTCATTTGTTTTACAATTCTACCTAGTTAGGGTCTAATTACATAGGATTGTAAAACAAACGGACTCAAAGATTCTGGGAGAAGCTGGGTAGGGGTCGGATTCTGACAAAAGAACTGGGCCCACCACTAGCGCGGGGCTAGGGGCAAAGAACTTATTTTATCTTCAGAAAGCCGCCGCCGCCTCATCTCTTCGAGTAAGACACAAATCCTAAGAAACTCTGAAAAGCATCTAGAAACAAAGTCCTCCCACCGGCAAGGGCCGAGATCCATCACGCCTCCATGGCCCTAAGGCCATAGGAGACGAGGCAGACCGGCGCTGGTGCCGGCGGAAGGCAGAAGTAACCCTAGCAGTGGCTGGGTACGAGCACCTCCATGTAACTCTCATTTCAACTTATTTTGACTGAAAATTTACACACATGTACATTATGTCTAGGTATATATGTGTTTTTTCAGATTTTTTTGAAAACTTGAAATTTGAATTTTTCAAATTAAGGCTTTCATGGAGCTCGATCTCCATTTGGCATTTCCGATATGACTCGTCATTTAAATCGGTGGTCAATGTTGGAGTGGACACACGAGGGTGCAATGTAAACTGAAAGAGTAGTTTTATCTTTTTCCCAAAATCATGGTCAAATATAATGATATGCCCTTGCGTGCTACTCCAGCTTTACTGTTGTTGCAATGTCAAATATGCAGCCTGCTAGCTACTCCATAGGCGAAAAAAGCTACTCCATAGGGATGCAGAGTTTCTTATCGATGAGCTCGAGTGAATAGTAAAATAAATAAAAAATTCAAGAAAATCTGATTTTTTTCTGACAAACATTGACAAAAGTTTCAAGTGCTTACAAAAAATTGTCATGGAATCACATTCCTAGAAGGCGTGGCAAAAAAAAAATTGGTTCTCTGAAAATGCTACTTTCAAAAGCATTTTGGAGCATTAAATTTGTTTTTTTGCCACACTTTACAGGAATGTGATTCTATGACGAATTTTTGCAAGCACTTAAAACTTTTATCAGTGTTTGTCACAAAAACTAAAATCAGATTTTTGATTGTTTTTTGATTTTTCTGTTCACCGAGCTCATTTGAGCTCGGGAGCATAAGAACACTTTTGAATCCATTGGCCGTACACGCTCGCAAATTGTTTACAGAGGGAGTACTTTTTGTTGCCTTCTTTCGCAAGGCCGTACATGCTCGCAAATTCAATGTTTCACCATTACATGTCTTACAACCGAAGCTCAAAAACTGAACATTAAAGAATACGACAACACACATAAATGAAATCAATTTGCAAGATGATATCAGTTTATGAATTTATTTCATGAGCTAACCATAGCTCCCTGGCTAGGTCGCTTAGCTAGCCAACCTTTGGGGCGAGGACGACGGTCACCACGCTGGCGATGGTGCCGACGAAGACACGGACGCGGTTTAGGCTGAGGTCCTGCTGCACCCCCGCCCCGAAAGGCACGAAGATCACGTCGGCGTCGGGCTTGTCCTTGAGGATGACGGCCTTGGCCTCACCGGCCGGCAGCCCCACCACCTCCGGCCACGACACCTTCTTGCCGCCGCCGGCGACGTTGCCCGTGGAGCTCATCGTCGCACGCACGGCACCACTGCGGATCGCACAGTCGATATCTGTAGTACCAAACCAAACCGTAGGAATGATCGAAGGATTGCAGTTGACCTTGAGGCTTGAGCTTACGTATGTACCGACCGGTCTGACCTGTTCAACTGAATGACTGATGAACGGCCGGCGAGAGAGCGGAGGCGGATATCAGTTGATCGACTTGGACAACGTTGGTTGTTATATATATGCCTCTATTTGTTGGAGTGGGAGATGTGGGTGGTGCTGAGGTGCATGTATGTGTGGTATGTATAAGACGTTCGTGGAATGGTCGAATCTTGCGTATGCAGTTGGGTAAGTACAAGCAAGAAGCAAGCTAGACAATTAGTTAGGCCTTGAAGGTTGAAGCTACTTATGCTCTGTTTCTTTGGGCTTTTGCTTCTGCTTTTACAGCTTTTTTATTTTGGTCAAAAAGCCATAAAAACTTCTAAATAGATGCTTTTGAATTTTTATGGCTTTTGATGAATTAATATAACAATATTTAGCTCCAAGCACGGGCTTCAAAAACTTTGTAAGAATGAAAGATGAGCCATATGCTAATATAATAGTACATCCTTCGTCCCACAATACAAGATGTTTTTGTAAGCTGAGAGAAGTATTTCCTTCCAACTACTATACATGCTGTGGCTTTAAATGACATTGCAACATGCTGGATATATTGTTAACCATGCTCTTTGCGCGCCTAGAGAGCAACAAGCAAAGTAATTAGCGAATTAGGGCTTAATATAAGTCAACCAAGCAACCTAGGCAGTAAATTAGGGCTTTGCTACTCGTAACGTATACATGTATACAGCTCCGACTCATGCTTCACCTAACCAGATGCTGGCTACACGAACTAACGCGCTACACTCGCGGGTCAACTATCTCCCGCTGGCCTAAGCAATTTTTTTTATGAACCGAGAATCTTTTTTTTCTTTTGCAGGTCAAGAACCGAGAATCTTATCGATGCATCAAATTTTTATAGAAATACTCATCAAAGGCTCATCCCTTGTAACAACACGATGATAAGAATCAAAGATGCTCATGGTTTGAACAACCATCTTTGCAGAGTTAACGGAGTGCCCGGTGGATTTCTTCTGATGGATGAAAGGCCGCACCAAATGTACTCTCTCTATAAAGAAATATAAGATTATTTAAATCACTATATTAGTGATCTAAATGATTTTATATTTTTTTACAGAGGGAGTAGTACTAGGATGTACTATATGAGACAATTATCGAATTGCTAGGAAGTGATCGACCACTCACAGGGACCGAACTCTCCGTCAAGGATGAAGTACAACAAAAGGGGTAGAAGCCTTTTTCGGTAAGAAGAAAGAGGAGGAAGCCCGAGAATGAGTGGAGAAGGAAGAAGGTGAGAGCACTCACGCAACAGAAATGGATGGGAAAACTAATCAACGACTATGAAGATCTCCTAGGAGCATCACTTCCCCTTGCCCCAATAAAATTCTGATATTGGAGGAGTTGGGCCAAAAAACTGCTCCAACAAGTCTCCTTTACCTAATAAATTATTGGTGATCACCAAAAAAATAGTCCACCTTTTCCTATTTGGTGGGGGAGTTGGCCTTCTCCTAATCCAATCTCCAATACCGCCACGCCAGCACGCCGCCGTCGGACCACCGCGCTGCAGCCCTCCGCTGCAACCGAACGTTGTTGGACTGCCGCTGCTACATATTGTTGGAACGCCGCCGCACGTCGCCACAAGTCTTCTCACTACCCGCCGGGCGCTGTAAGAGGATGAGTAGGAGTCGTGTCAGAGTTATGGTGTGCATTGAAATACATTGAGCGATTCTCTCCATTTCGAACATTGGGGTGAATGGGGTTTAAATGGAGCATAAATTTAGTTGATTCAGTGGCCAATATTAAATGGCCAACCCAGCGATTTGACACAGTCGCCCCGCACCATCCGTCGGCTGCACAAGGTTGGTCTCTCTCCGTCGCACGAGCGGACTGAGACCCCCTCCCTCCTGACCAAGTGACAATGCAGCCACCCCGTGTCTCCCAAAGGCCATCTACTCAGACGCAAACGGCCGGTTGTATCCTCGTGGACTTGCCCTTCGTCACATAGTAACTCAGTACTTGCCCTTTTTCTCTCCACTGGTAGTTAATTGCTTCATCTTGTCCAATCACAGAAATGAATGGCCCACTTAAGGTGATGTACCATAAAAGATCTCACTAAATATAATATCCAAGCAAGAAGTTTTTTGAGTTTAAGATCCTGCCAACTCGGTATTAAAAAATATGCGGCCTACATCGATCCATGCCCAAGTAGTTAAAAAAGACTAGACATGTGTGTGTG